GGCACACAAGATTGATATTGTATCTGGTACTTTGGGTAAAGCTTACGGTCTGGTCGGTGGTTATATTGCTTCTACTGGTAATTGTTCAACAGTTGAACTGTTGTTTAACTAATTATATAATGTAGACTTATATATGATTATTGAACCAGCCTAGGCCAATGGTGTTAATAAAAAGAATTATTTTTCGGGTTCTCTAAAATTTCTTTTAAGCTTGATAAAGATTATTTCCATGGAAAATAAACGAGAAACAATTAATAAAAAAATAAAATAATTTCTCTCAGGACCTCTGATTGATGTAGTGAGAAGTCTCGGTTCAGGTCTAATCTTCACCACCTCCATACCGCCTAGTACTGCGGCTGGTGCTGTCACTAGTATCAACATTCTCGCGCAGCAGGAGGGACGTGAACTGCGCCTCCGTCATCGCGCTGCGTATAATATTCTTAGAGTCAAACTGGTATGTTTCAAACCTTTAAAAGTCTACTAGGTGGATAAGTAAAATAATCACTAAATAGTATATATAATATTTTAATAAATTTAATCTTTATTCGATAACCTTTTTAACTTAATAGTAAATTAAAATAAAAGCACAATAATAAAATTCACTTATTTATTTATTTAAAAAGTAAAATCCTACAGTTAAAAGCTGGATTCCCGGTACTGGACTGTCCAAGTCACATAGTTCCTCTTCACATAGGGGACGCTCTAAAGGCCACACTCTGCATGGATACCCTTCTTGAGAAACACAAGCTCTACGTACAGGTATAATGTATATGTGTATATTATACTGATTATTTTTACTTGTTTGATAATTAACGAAGACACGTTTTTGGCACGTTTTTTGCACGTTTTTGGCACGTTTTTGGCACGTTTTTGTCTTTTATGATCAATAATATTTTATATCAACTGAAAATTATCTTGCACCTCTGACCTCCTAAATATAACCAATAAATTCCAATATTTATTACACGCATTAAAAATATACCTAAAAAAGAAACATTCAAGTGACCACTTCACAGGCGATAAACTACCCGACGGTACCTAGAGGAAGGGAGTTACTCCGTTTCGTGGCCACCCCCTACCATACACCCCGCATGATGGACTACCTGATCAGCGCGCTGGATGATGTTTGGAGCAACTTGGATCTGCCCAAATGTGAAAACTTTTCATTGAAGAATTAGTTATGTCATGTAGGAATTTGTTTGTAGAGTTTTTTTTTCTGAGTGAGCTTCATTATGGATATTACTATTATATATTTGATTCTTCATGAGTTTTTGGATGATAGTATTTTATGTCGCAACCAGTGATTTCAATGATAATTTACATAACATTATGATTTGATATTTTTCTACTTAAATATTTGGAAATTGTGCTAGTATTGTAAGATTGTATTCGTCATAGTAATGATAATTAGCAAACAAGCACTGGAACCAGCTCTGATCACTATCTATTAAGTTTTCAGATCCCAGTCTCATTCGATTTTCATAAAGCTCGTACATATGAAGAAAAAGATGTCAGAGAGCTAAGCAAAATTGACATCGATAAGTTCAGGGAAGATCTGTTTTGTTCAGAGCTTAACCTTTCTGAATATCAATCCTTAGACGAGGCTGTGAACCTTTATCAAAATGTCCTTGAACAGGTGCTAGACAAACATGCCCCACTTATTACGAAACGATTTACTGCTGAAAAGTCTGATTTTTGGGATGAAAAATGTCAAATTGCTGTCAGAGAGAGGAGAAGGGCAAAACGAAAAGCCAAAAAGTATCCAGAGAATGATGAGTTTAAAACTACTCACTTTGAAAAGTGTGTTGACGCAGAAATCACCATCAATCGAGCTAGGGATGGCTACTATGATAAACAGCTCAGTTCTTGCAAAGGAGACTCGAAAGGGACCTATAAAGTCATAAATAAACTTTTAGATAAGGAATATGGCTCCAACAAATTGCCAAATGGTGAAGATATCGAAGTGGCTGAAAAACTCAAGACTTTCTTTGACAAAAAAGTAAAAATCATTTACTCTAATATTGAGAAGGAAATTCAAAACACTTCCCTTAACGGTCAAGGTACCAAAAACTCTACTTTGATAGAGAATACAAAGTGTAGACTTGATCAGTTTAAGGAAGTCTCATTATCAGAACTTGAAACCTTAATTAAGAGTCTTCCCAATAAATCAAGCGTACTCGATGTCATACCAATGTGGCTCTTCAAGAACTGCTTACCCGAGCTTCTCCCAATCATCCATTACATCGTGAATGAATCACTAAGAGTCGGAAAGTTTCCATCTGCCCTAAAAGAAGCATCTATTAGGCCTGGACTCAAGAAACCTACCTTAGATGTTGATGAGCTGAAAAACTATCGACCGATTAGCAATCTAACTTATCTGTCCAAAATACTAGAAAAAGTAGTTCATTGCCAATTAAATGAATATGCTGATGTCAACAACCTGTTTTCCCCATATCAATCAGGCTATAGAAAATTCCATAGTTGTGAAACTGCAGTTACCAAAATACATAATGATATTCTAATGATGATTGACAGCAAATCGAATGTTGTGCTTCTACTCTTAGATCTATCAGCTGCTTTCGACACCATAAACCATAACCTCCTTCTTACGAAACTCAAGAATGCGTATGGTATTACAGAACTAGCACTCAGCTGGTTACAATGTTACCTTAATAATCGCACATTCAAGGTTAAAGTAAAAAAAGCCACATCTTCTGAAGGCTATCTGGATATTGGTGTACCTCAAGGATCCATTTTAGGACCACTACTGTTCATATTGTATACCAGAGATCTTGAAGAAATTGTCACAAAATATGGTTTCTCGATACATTTGTATGCAGATGACACACAGGTGTACTTTACTTTTGATGTTCACAGTTCTAATCCTGATTTAACAGCTGTGAAAAATTGCTTTCTGGAGATAAAGCAATGGATGACAGTTAATTTCCTAAAACTGAATGATGAAAAAACAGAGTTCATTGATATAGGTCCATATGTCAGCCCAATCCAGACAATGGATTTAGGAGACCTCTCAATCTGCCCTGTTAGCAAGGCCAAGAACCTGGGATTCCTTTTCGATCACCAAATGAATCTGGACTCTCAAATAAATGCTGTCTCCAAAGTATGTTATTTGAATCAAAGGGACTTAGCAAGAATCGGTTCGAAGCTTTCCCATGACCTAAAAGTTCAGTTAGTTCACTCCAATATCCTCTGTTTCATAGACTACTGCAACTCAGTCTATTATGGTATAACAGAAAAGAATCTCCATAAGCTACAAAAGATACAGAACAATGCTGCTAGATTTATCTTTGGTCTTTACGGAAAAAAGATACGTGAACCTATCATGCCTTACCTCAAAAAGCTCCACTTTCTGCCTGTTCGGTTCAGAATTAAGTTCAAAATATCACTTCTGGTCTTCAAGTGTCTTAATAACATAGCCCCTCAGTACTTACAAGGACACGTCAATCTAAGGGAAGTACGAAGACGAAGTTCCAGACTAGATGATGACTTTTATTTGTTGAAAGTTCCTCCTGCTCCTCATTTCAGACGAACAGATGCTGCATTTATGTTTTGTGGACCAAAAATTTGGAATGAACTACCCTACTCAGTGAGATCATTATCATCTGTAGAATGTTTTAAAAATGCCCTAAAGACGTTTTATTTCCAACGAGCTTTTGATAATATTTCTAATATTTGTCCATAATGTCTGAACTGATATGAAAGTGCATAATTTTGGTAATTTCATACAAATATTTGTTCATAAAATCTGAACTGTTTAAAAAGTCCATAATCTTGCTATTTCAACACTAAGTCTCGCTTGAATGACTTTAATGTACATCTTTGTTGGGTATATTTTAATGTCGAAGCGTGTAATAAATGTTAGAATTTATTTATTTATTTATAATTAATTTTATTGCGACCCAACTTTAGAAATTTTACGAGATTTCATCAGTTAATTATTATTAATAGATATATGTTTTATGCAAATCAAACTGCAAATTGTTTTGTATCATGTGACCCTTTTGGCCTATATCATATCTGAGATTATTTGTTATATTATATAGTATTTGGAGTTAATTAATGATCAATCAATATATGAACCTGCACATGCAACAATGGGCCAAGTAGTTTTTAGTGGTTTTGAGATAAACGAAAAAAACTTTCCCATTTTTACAGGATATGTTGGATCATCAAAAATTTTTTTTCGTGGGTTAGGTATTCTATTGGCCCATTAGGCACATTAATTTTTTAAGCAAAATTGTAAATAGTTTCGTCTGCATCTGGCAAAAAGTTGCATGGCTCGCTGATTTCCAATTAAACTTATGTGGTCTACATTACTTGGCCCACCCATTCATATAAAAGGATATGGGCCATGTAACATAGACCAGCAACTATTTTTAATGGAAGTAATCTCATACCTATGCAATAACGGGCCACATTAACTTGGCCCACCTTTACAGTAGATCGTGTCTTGCTAATACCTGTGTAATAACGGGCCATGTTAACTTGGCCCACCTGCGAAGAAGCACAGCTTAATTATTATTTCGGGCTATGTTAGCTAGCCCATTCTTGAACTGCATAACTTATATTGAAGTAGAGATCCACATTATATAGCCCACTATTGAAAGGGCTGAATTTTCTAAAATGTTGTCCGATTTTGTTCAAAATTGACATGTAGATGCGTCTTGGCATCATGATCACTTCTAGCAACAAAATAAAAAACCGGGCCAAGTTACTTAGCCCATTGTTGCATGTGCAGGTTCATATATTGTGTCCTAACAGTGACCTGCAATTTGCTACTATAGTTAATTAAATTCTTTTTATTTGTTTTCCTTTTTACGTAGAGATTTAACTTTTTTAAAGATTCTGTCACAATCCAACAAACATGTAATAGATTTTATGAGAATAACTGCTGTCAAGCGTGTCATCTTATAACTTAATCATTAAACAATTAATTACTTAACTAATGATCCAATTAATATAATTAACTGAACGTCAGGATGGTGTCCCATCAATGGAGGAGGTTTGCTTTCTTCAGTAAGGAAGTTGTTAAAGATGAAAACGGGGACAAGTGGTCCGGTCTTCAGGTTAGTTTATTGGAAAAATTTTAGAACCGTCTAGAAAGTTCTAAAAGGTTCTAGAAAGTTCTATAAAAGTTCTAGAAAGTTCTAGAAACCTCTAGAAACTTCTAGAAACTTCTAGAAACTTCTAAAAACTTCTAGAAAGCAGCAGTTAACAAATCAACTTATTGTAATTGTCATAACTTCCCCTCAGTCTTTCTTTATTCAGCATATTATCATGGTACGAACATTAGTATCTCATACACATTTCGGCCAGTAGACGCTTTATAAGATTTTTTTAAAAAAATCAATAAACTTTTAAAGTTAAAGATTAAAGTTAGTGATTATTGTATTCCACAATTCACAGGATATAGACATAACATGTACAGCTAGTGGGAGGGGTAAACTACTAATTGGAGACAGTAAAGGTCACCTCCACTGTCTTACTCAGGACATGAAGGTTTGTCTCAATCTAACAAAATAAATCGTTGTAATATTATTATTATTTAATTTCTTTTTAAAGTGATTTTATTTTATGTTACAGTGCACTTTGAGATCACTTAATTGAGCAGTGTGGTCCATCCTTTTGGATTTTCAGTTTAAAGTAAAGCTAATAATGTTCCAATAAAACTTAACTTAATTCCAACAGAACTTAACTTAACTTAATTCCACTAGAACTATTATATAACTCTACTAAAGATATTACTAGGATGTGGAGGTCAGGAAACTTTACGAGACTCGTCTCACACATCTGGTACAAATACCTAAAGCTAAACAGAACATTGTGGTTACTGTCGGGGAGGACGAACCTGCGCATCCTATACTCCGGGTAATTGGTTAATTATTCAATTAATTAATTAGTTAATTTATTGATAAGTTAGTTAAATAAATACGCAATTAGGTAATTAGTAAGCTAAACAGAACATAGTGGTTACTATCGGAAAGGACGAACCTGCGCATCCTATACTCCGGGTAATTGGTTAATTAGTTAGTTTGTCATGCAAGGTTAATATTTGATTTGTAAATCAGTTGCTTCTTAAATTATTCAACCGATATTCATGAATAAAATAAAAACGTTCCACAACCAGTTCACTATTATAATAATACGTAGGCTAACAGTAGTATTGTACCTTATAAAATGTAACTAATTAACTAATTATATAATTAATCACGTAATCAATTAATTGACAGGTGTGGAACATGACCCCACGGTTAGCTGACAGTGGCTGTGTTCGTTACGTAGACCTGACGACCCTCTCCAAAACTAACGTTACAATTAACGTGACTTGTATTGTTGTCAGTGATAACATGTCTAACATGGCAGTAGGTAAATATCGTGTGTTTGCTTGTGTTTGCGTGTGTGTATGTTTGCTTGTTTGTGCTTGTATGTTTATGTGCTTGCTTGTGTGTATGTTTGTGTGTTTGCCTGTGTGTTTGTGTGTGTGCTTTTTTTGTGTGTTTATTTGAATGTGTGCCTGTATAATGAGGCTGCTTTTTTTCTGAAATATATTGTATTCTATGATTTATAATTGTATGATAGATCAATTAATTAATTAATTAATTAATTAATTAACTAAGTATATTATTCCTGCAGGATTAGCAGATGGAACTGTGTGGCTGTTTTACAAACACGACATTACAAGGGAGCAGCGGTCAGTTCCCATATTATTATCAGTACTTATCTCTCTAGAGTGTTAGACATTACAAGGGAGCAGCGGTCAGTTCCCATATTATTATCTGTACTTATCTCTCTAGAGTGTTAGACATTACAAGGGAGCAGCGGTCAGTTCCCATATTATTATCTGTACTTATCTCTCTAGAGTGTTAGACATTTAAACAAGGGAGCAGCGGTCAGTTCCCATATTATTATCTGTACTTATCTCTCTAGAGTGTTAGACATAACAAGGGAGCAGCGGTCAGTTCCCATATTATTATCTGTACTTATCTCTCTAGAGTGTTAGACATTACAAGGGAGCAGCGGTCAGTTCCCATATTATTATCTGTACTTATCTCTCTAGAGTGTTAGACATAACAAGGGAGCAGCGGTCAGTTCCCATTATATTATTATCTGTACTTATCTCTCTAGAGTGTTAGACATTACAAGGGAGCAGCGGTCAGTTCCCATATTATTATCTGTACTTATCTCTCTAGAATGTTAGACATTACAAGGGAGCAGCGGTCAGTTCCCATATTATTATCTGTACTTATCTCTCTAGAGTGTTAGACATTACAAGGGAGCAGCGGTCAGTTCCCATATTATTATCTGTACTTATCTCTCTAGAGTGTTAGACATAACAAGGGAGCAGCGGTCAGTTCTCATATTATTATCTGTACTTATCTCTCTAGAGTGTTAGACATTACAAGGGAGCAGCGGTCAGTTCCCATATTATTATCTGTACTTATCTCTCTAGAGTGTTAGACATTACAAGGGAGCAGCGGTCAGTTCCCATTATATAATTATTATCTGTACTTATCTCTCTAGAGTGTTAGACATTACAAGGGAGCAGCGGTCAGTTCCCATATTATTATCTGTACTTATCTCTCTAGAGTGTTAGACATTACAAGGGAGCAGCGGTCAGTTCCCATATTATTATCTGTACTTATCTCTCTAGAGTGTTAGACATTACAAGGGAGCAGCGGTCAGTTCCCATATTATTATCTGTACTTATCTCTCTAGAGTGTTAGACATTACAAGGGAGCAGCGGTCAGTTCCCATATTATTATCTGTACTTATCTCTCTAGAGTGTTAGACATTACAAGGGAGCAGCGGTCAGTTCCCATATTATTATCTGTACTTATCTCTCTAGAGTGTTAGACATAACAAGGGAACAGCGGTTAGACATTACAAGGGAGCAGCGGTCAGTTCCCATATTATTATCTGTACTTATCTCTCTAGAGTGTTAGACATAACAAGGGAACAGCGGTCAGTTCCCATATTATTATCTGTACTTATCTCTCTAGAGTGTTAGACATAACAAGGGAGCAGCGGTCAGTTCCCATATTATTATCTGTCCTTATCTCTCTAGAGTGCTATTTTCAACAGTGTATTTATCTGTAATTATGATCCATTTTAAGTGACCTGACAAACACGACATTACAAGGGAGCAGCGGTCAGTTCCCATATTATTATCTGTACTTATCTCTCTAGAGTGTTAGACATTACAAGGGAGCAGCGGTCAGTTCCCATATTATTATCTGTACTTATCTCTCTAGAGTGTTAGACATTACAAGGGAGCAGCGGTCAGTTCCCATTATATTATTATCTGTACTTATCTCTCTAGAGTGTTAGACATTACAAGGGAGCAGCGGTCAGTTCCCATATTATTATCTGTACTTATCTCTCTAGAGTGTTAGACATAACAAGGGAGCAGCGGTCAGTTCCCATATTATTATCTGTCCTTATCTCTCTAGAGTGCTATTTTCAACAGTGTATTTATCTGTAATTATGATCCATTTTAAGTGACCTGACAAACACGACATTACAAGGGAGCAGCGGTCAGTTCCCATATTATTATCTGTACTTATCTCTCTAGAGTGTTAGACATTACAAGGGAGCAGCGGTCAGTTCCCATATTATTATCTGTACTTATCTCTCTAGAGTGTTAGACATTACAAGGGAGCAGCGGTCAGTTCCCATTATATTATTATCTGTACTTATCTCTCTAGAGTGTTAGACATTACAAGGGAGCAGCGGTCAGTTCCCATATTATTATCTGTACTTATCTCTCTAGAGTGTTAGACATTACAAGGGAGCAGCGGTCAGTTCCCATATTATTATCTGTACTTATCTCTCTAGAGTGTTAGACATTACAAGGGAGCAGCGGTCAGTTCCCATATTATTATCCATGTACTTATCTCTCTAGAGTGTTAGACATTACAAGGGAACAGCGGTCAGTTCCCATAATATTATCTGTACTTATCTCTCTAGAGTGTTAGACATTACAAGGGAGCAGCGGTCAGTTCCCACATTATTATCTGTACTTATCTTTCTAGAGTGTTAGACATTACAAGGGAGCAGCGGTCAGTTCCCATTATATTATTATCTGTACTTATCTCTCTAGAGTGTTAGACATTACAAGGGAGCAGCGGTCAGTTCCCATATTATTATCTGTACTTATCTCTCTAGAGTGTTAGACATTACAAGGGAGCAGCGGTCAGTTCCCATATTATTATCTGTACTTATCTCTCTAGAATGTTAGACATTACAAGGGAGCAGCGGTCAGTTCCCATATTATTATCTGTACTTATCTCTCTAGAGTGTTAGACATTACAAGGGAGCAGCGGTCAGTTCCCATATTATTATCTGTACTTATCTCTCTAGAGTGTTAGACATTACAAGGGAGCAGCGGTCAGTTCCCATATTATTATCTGTACTTATCTCTCTAGAGTGTTAGACATAACAAGGGAACAGCGGTCAGACATTACAAGGGAGCAGCGGTCAGTTCCCATATTATTATCTGTACTTATCTCTCTAGAGTGTTAGACATAACAAGGGAACAGCGGTCAGTTCCCATATTATTATCTGTACTTATCTCTCTAGAGTGTTAGACATTACAAGGGAGCAGCGGTCAGTTCCCATTATATTATTATCTGTACTTATCTCTCTAGAGTGTTAGACATTACAAGGGAGCAGCGGTCAGTTCCCATATTATTATCTGTACTTATCTCTCTAGAGTGTTAGACATAACAAGGGAGCAGCGGTCAGTTCCCATATTATTATCTGTCCTTATCTCTCTAGAGTGCTATTTTCAACAGTGTATTTATCTGTAATTATGATCCATTTTAAGTGACCTGACAACTGCAGCTCTTAATCTTGATCATATTATATTGATCATATTATATTGATCATATTACCAGGCTAGGTTCTAATCAAACGGTCATTATTACAATGTACAATGTACAATGTACATTGTATATCACAGTAAAACCCCGATTTACCGTGGAGTTTGGGGAAAAGAAAGCATCTGCGTTAAATCAGGGGTCGCGGTTAATCGGGGTTTTGATTGTTCACATTATGTATGTTAACCCACATTTTGGGTTAAGAAATGGCCATGGTAAATCGTAAAATCGGGGTTTTACTGTACTTCTTCTTAGATGAATACTGATCTGAACCCAATCTTCACAGATACAAAGTGATCCACTCAGACAAGGCGTCTATAACTGGACTGGCGTTCAACAAGGAAGTGGCATTGTTTGTTGCTACTGAAACTGCAGTGCATTCCTACAAACGGGTATACAACATTTAAATACTTACGTTATTAAAAATTAAAGAAAAGAATAAAAAGAAATTGCCAGAAATTAGTTGAATCACCACGAATATTGAGTATGATTTTTTTGTGATTTGTGTTTTAGTTTATCTTTAGTTTAATTTGGAGACGCAAGTTGGTTCACTTCACTGAGAGTGGTCGTAGCAACAAATATATAAAAAAATATATAAACAAATATATAAAAAATATGTAAACAAATATATCATATCCCAGGTATCAGATAGCAACCCCTTGCCGACGTTTCTCTCCAGTGAGGGGTGTGGTCTGGGCCTCTCCCTCCTTACTGATCACCATCAGTACCATCAGTTCCTTATTGCTCCTAAGAATAAGTTCCTTTTCTTTACTGTGGACGATCCTGGAAATAACCTCCCCATGGATGGTAAGTAATACTTACGGCTCAGTAATATCTTGTAAGTAATCTCTTGTGGTAAGTAATCTCTTCCTACCTGATTTCATTTCTAGTTACAGTATTGGTTCCTACTTTCTAAGAATCGAGCTGTTTGCTTATGATAATATTGCAATTTAAACTCTATGTCTCGTAAGTGATAACCCGATTATAATTCCAATCAATTAACCAAAATAATTACCCTATTTCACTATTTCACTATTTCACTATCTCCAGGTACCAGGTCCCACATAGCGTGGTACAGGGGATGTCTGGTATCCGTCTCTTTCACTATTTCACTATCTCCAGGTACCAGGTCCCACATAGCGTGGTACAGGGGATGTCTGGTGTCCGTCTCTTTCACTATTTCACTATCTCCAGGTACCAGGTCCCACATAGCGTGGTACAGGGGATGTCTGGTGTCCGTCTCTTTCACTATTTCACTATCTCCAGGTACCAGGTCCCACATAGCGTGGTACAGGGGATGTCTGGTGTCCGTCTCTTTCACTATTTCACTATCTCCAGGTACCAGGTCCCACATAGCGTGGTACAGGGGATGTCTGGTATCCGTCTCTTTCACTATTTCACTATCTCCAGGTACCAGGTCCCACATAGCGTGGTACAGGGGATGTCTGGTGTCCGTCTCTTTCACTATTTCACTATCTCCAGGTACCAGGTCCCACATAGCGTGGTACAGGGGATGTCTGGTGTCCGTCTCTTTCACTATTTCACTATCTCCAGGTACCAGGTCCCACATAGCGTGGTACAGGGGATGTCTGGTGTCCGTCTCTTTCACTATTTCACTATCTCCAGGTACCAGGTCCCACATAGCGTGGTACAGGGGATGTCTGGTGTCCGTCTCTTTCACTATTTCACTATCTCCAGGTACCAGGTCCCACATAGCGTGGTACCGGGGATGTCTGGTGTCCGTCTCTTTCACTATTTCACTATCTCCAGGTACCAGGTCCCACATAGCGTGGTACCGGGGATGTCTGGTATCCGTCTCTTTCACTATTTCACTATCTCCAGGTACCAGGTCCCACATAGCGTGGTACAGGGGATGTCTGGTATCCGTCTCTTTCACTATTTCACTATCTCCAGGTACCAGGTCCCACATAGCGTGGTACAGGGGATGTCTGGTATCCGTCTCTTTCACTATTTCACTATCTCCAGGTACCAGGTCCCACATAGCGTGGTACAGGGGATGTCTGGTATCCGTCTCTTTCACTATTTCACTATCTCCAGGTACCAGGTCCCACATAGCGTGGTACAGGGGATGTCTGGTGTCCGTCTCTTTCACTATTTCACTATCTCCAGGTACCAGGTCCCACATAGCGTGGTACAGGGGATGTCTGGTGTCCGTCTCTTTCACTATTTCACTATCTCCAGGTACCAGGTCCCACATAGCGTGGTACAGGGGATGTTTGGTATCCGTCTCTTTCACTATTTCACTATCTCCAGGTACCAGGTCCCACATAGCGTGGTACAGGGGATGTCTGGTGTCCGTCTCTTTCACTATTTCACTATCTCCAGGTACCAGGTCCCACATAGCGTGGTACAGGGGATGTCTGGTATCCGTCTCTTTCACTATTTCACTATCTCCAGGTACCAGGTCCCACATAGCGTGGTACAGGGGATGTCTGGTGTCCGTCTCTTTCACTATTTCACTATCTCCAGGTACCAGGTCCCACATAGCGTGGTACAGGGGATGTCTGGTGTCCGTCTCTTTCACTATTTCACTATCTCCAGGTACCAGGTCCCACATAGCGTGGTACAGGGGATGTCTGGTGTCCGTCTCTTTCACTATTTCACTATCTCCAGGTACCAGGTCCCACATAGCGTGGTACAGGGGATGTCTGGTATCCGTCTCTTTCACTATTTCACTATCTCCAGGTACCAGGTCCCACATAGCGTGGTACAGGGGATGTCTGGTGTCCGTCTCTTTCACTATTTCACTATCTCCAGGTACCAGGTCCCACATAGCGTGGTACAGGGGATGTCTGGTGTCCGTCTCTTTCACTATTTCACTATCTCCAGGTACCAGGTCCCACATAGCGTGGTACAGGGGATGTCTGGTATCCGTCTCTTTCACTATTTCACTATCTCCAGGTACCAGGTCCCACATAGCGTGGTACAGGGGATGTCTGGTGTCCGTCTCTTTCACTATTTCACTATCTCCAGGTACCAGGTCCCACATAGCGTGGTACAGGGGATGTCTGGTGTCCGTCTCTTTCACTATTTCACTATCTCCAGGTACCAGGTCCCACATAGCGTGGTACAGGGGATGTCTGGTGTCCGTCTCTTTCACTATTTCACTATCTCCAGGTACCAGGTCCCACATAGCGTGGTACAGGGGATGTCTGGTGTCCGTCTCTTTCACTATTTCACTATCTCCAGGTACCAGGTCCCACATAGCGTGGTACAGGGGATGTCTGGTGTCCGTCTCTTTCACTATTTCACTATCTCCAGGTACCAGGTCCCACATAGCGTGGTACAGGGGATGTCTGGTGTCCGTCTCTTTCACTATTTCACTATCTCCAGGTACCAGGTCCCACATAGCGTGGTACAGGGGATGTCTGGTGTCCGTCTCTTTCACTATTTCACTATCTCCAGGTACCAGGTCCCACATAGCGTGGTACAGGGGATGTCTGGTGTCCGTCTCTTTCACTATTTCACTATCTCCAGGTACCAGGTCCCACATAGCGTGGTACAGGGGATGTCTGGTGTCCGTCTCTTTCACTATTTCACTATCTCCAGGTACCAGGTCCCACATAGCGTGGTACAGGGGATGTCTGGTGTCCGTCTCTTTCACTATTTCACTATCTCCAGGTACCAGGTCCCACATAGCGTGGTACAGGGGATGTCTGGTGTCCGTCTCTTTCACTATTTCACTATCTCCAGGTACCAGGTCCCACATAGCGTGGTACAGGGGATGTCTGGTGTCCGTCTCTTTCACTATTTCACTATCTCCAGGTACCAGGTCCCACATAGCGTGGTACAGGGGATGTCTGGTGTCCGTCTCTTTCACTATTTCACTATCTCCAGGTACCAGGTCCCACATAGCGTGGTACAGGGGATGTCTGGTGTCCGTCTCTTTCACTATTTCACTATCTCCAGGTACCAGGTCCCACATAGCGTGGTACAGGGGATGTCTGGTATCCGTCTCTTTCACTATTTCACTATCTCCAGGTACCAGGTCCCACATAGCGTGGTACAGGGGATGTCTGGTATCCGTCTCTTTCACTATTTCACTATCTCCAGGTACCAGGTCCCACATAGCGTGGTACAGGGGATGTCTGGTGTCCGTCTCTTTCACTATTTCACTATCTCCAGGTACCAGGTCCCACATAGCGTGGTACAGGGGATGTCTGGTATCCGTCTCTTTCACTATTTCACTATCTCCAGGTACCAGGTCCCACATAGCGTGGTACAGGGGATGTCTGGTGTCCGTCTCTTTCACTATTTCACTATCTCCAGGTACCAGGTCCCACATAGCGTGGTACAGGGGATGTCTGGTATCCGTCTCTTTCACTATATCACTATCTCCAGGTACCAGGTCCCACATAGCGTGGTACAGGGGATGTCTGGTGTCCGTCTCTTTCACTATTTCACTATCTCCAGGTACCAGGTCCCACATAGCGTGGTACAGGGGATGTCTGGTGTCCGTCTCTTTCACTATTTCACTATCTCCAGGTACCAGGTCCCACATAGCGTGGTACAGGGGATGTCTGGTGTCCGTCTCTTTCACTATTTCACTATCTCCAGGTACCAGGTCCCACATAGCGTGGTACAGGGGATGTCTGGTATCCGTCTCTTTCACTATATCACTATCTCCAGGTACCAGGTCCCACATAGCGTGGTACAGGGGATGTCTGGTATCCGTCTCTTTCACTATTTCACTATCTCCAGGTACCAGGTCCCACATAGCGTGGTACAGGGGATGTCTGGTGTCCGTCTCTTTCACTATTTCACTATCTCCAGGTACCAGGTCCCACATAGCGTGGTACAGGGGATGTCTGGTGTCCGTCTCTTTCACTATTTCACTATCTCCAGGTACCAGGTCCCACATAGCGTGGTACAGGGGATGTCTGGTATCCGTCTCTTTCACTATTTCACTATCTCCAGGTACCAGGTCCCACATAGCGTGGTACAGGGGATGTCTGGTGTCCGTCTCTTTCACTATTTCACTATCTCCAGGTACCAGGTCCCACATCGCGTGGTACAGGGGATGTCTGGTATCCGTGTCTTTCACTATTTCACTATCTCCAGGTACCAGGTCCCACATAGCGTGGTACAGGGGATGTCTGGTGTCCGTCTCTTTCACTATTTCACTATCTCCAGGTACCAGGTCCCACATAGCGTGGTACAGGGGATGTCTGGTATCCGTCTCTTTCACTATATCACTATCTCCAGGTACCAGGTCCCACATAGCGTGGTACAGGGGATGTCTGGTGTCCGTCTCTTTCACTATATCACTATCTCCAGGTACCAGGTCCCACATAGCGTGGTACAGGGGATGTCTGGTATCCGTCTCTTTCACTATTTCACTATCTCCAGGTACCAGGTCCCACATAGCGTGGTACAGGGGATGTCTGGTATCCGTCTCTTTCACTATTTCACTATCTCCAGGTACCAGGTCCCACATAGCGTGGTACAGGGGATGTCTGGTATCCGTCTCTTTCACTATTTCACTATCTCCAGGTACCAGGTCCCACATAGCGTGGTACAGGGGATGTCTGGTGTCCGTCTCTTTCACTATTTCACTATCTCCAGGTACCAGGTCCCACATAGCGTGGTACAGGGGATGTCTGGTGTCCGTCTCTTTCACTATTTCACTATCTCCAGGTACCAGGTCCCACATAGCGTGGTACAGGGGATGTCTGGTGTCCGTCTCTTTCACTATTTCACTATCTCCAGGTACCAGGTCCCACATAGCGTGGTACAGGGGATGTCTGGTGTCCGTCTCTTTCACTATTTCACTATCTCCAGGTACCAGGTCCCACATAGCGTGGTACAGGGGATGTCTGGTGTCCGTCTCTTTCACTATTTCACTATCTCCAGGTACCAGGTCCCACATAGCGTGGTACAGGGGATGTCTGGTGTCCGTCTCTTTCACTATTTCACTATCTCCAGGTACCAGGTCCCACATAGCGTGGTACAGGGGATGTCTGGTGTCCGTCTCTTTCACTATTTCACTATCTCCAGGTACCAGGTCCCACATAGCGTGGTACAGGGGATGTCTGGTGTCCGTCTCTTTCACTATTTCACTATCTCCAGGTACCAGGTCCCACATAGCGTGGTACAGGGGATGTCTGGTATCCGTCTCTTTCACTATTTCACTATCTTCAGGTACCAGGTCCCACATAGCGTGGTACAGGGGATGTCTGGTGTCCGTCTCTTTCACTATTTCACTATCTCCAGGTACCAGGTCCCACATAGCGTGATACAGGGGATGTCTGGTGTCCGTCTCTTTCACTATTTCACTATCTCCAGGTACCAGGTCCCACATAGCGTGGTACAGGGGATGTCTGGTATCCGTCTCTTTCGCCAGGAGAACCATGCTAAAACAGGACTCTATTTGCGACCTGACTATCTACGATATGAGCAACAAGTTTATAGGTACAGTGAACTGCTTGTTAACTGCTTGTTAACTGCTTGTTAACTGATTGTTAACTGATTGTTAACTGCTTGTGAACTGCTTGTTAACTGTTTGTTAACTGTTTGTTAACTGCTTGTTAACTGTTTGTTAACTGTTTGTTAACTGCTTGTTAACTGCTTGTTAACTGCTTGTTAACTGCTTGTTAACTGCTTGTTAACTGCTTGTTAACTGCTTGTTAACTGCTTGTTAACTGCTTGTTAACTGCTTGTTAACTGCTTGTTAACTGCTTGTTAACTGCTTGTTAACTGTTTGTTAACTGCTTGTTAACTGCTCGTGAACTGCTTGTTAACTGTTTGTTAACTGCTTGTTAACTGTTTGTTAACTGCTCGTGAACTGCTTGTTCACTGTTTGTTAACTGTTTGTTAACTGCTTGTGCTTTAAAGTGTGAGAAGTGAACTATGCAGTTAAGTTCACAGTATATATTTTAATAATTGTAAACAAATATTTCAGGGTTCACTGGAACGTTCCCACCAGTTAAAGCTCTGTTAGTGGAATGGGGATCTCTTTATGTTATCGGCAAAAACAACGAGATTTATAAACTCAACGAGAAAGGTTTGACACTTTTTAGTCTTTTGTGAGAGTTGCTTGGTATTAGTAGTTTTGGAAATAATCACGTGATCTACGAAGAAGAACAGATCTGAGAATACGGGCATTTCTGAGAATACGGGCATTTCTGAGAATTAAACGGGTATTTCTGAGAATTAAACGGGCATTTCTGAGAATTAAACGGGCATTTCTGAGAATTAAACGGGCATTTCTGAGAATTAAACGGGCATTTCTGAGAATACGGGCATTTCTGAGAATTAAACGGGCATTTCTGAGAATTAAACGGGCATTTCTGAGAATTGAACGGGCATTTCTGAGAATTAAACGGGCATTTCTGAGAATTAAACGGGCATTTCTGAGAATACGGGCATTTCTGAGAATTAAACGGGCATTTCTGAGAATTAAGGCCAGAGGGGGGGGGGGGGGGGGGGTAAGGGGTCAAAAAATTCTACCAAAATATTATTTTCTAAATCGATTTAATTTTTAATGACAAAAACATCACCGCTATTCACATATTTGTAGCTTTTTTATTAAATACTTTTCAAATTTTACAGAGTACAGCAATAGATGAATATAAAATAGAATCGTTCAAAATATCGCCCCCATCTGTAAAATATGATGGGCACCCAAACACGGTAAACACATAGTGAACTATGTCCGCAGTAACTTGGACCCATTACATCGAATTAATCTAAATCCAAAAATTTATGAAAAACTATTTAATAACAAACAAATCCATGGTGAATAACTGTGGATATAGAGTCAAAATTTGTATTTCAATACGTCAAATTCCAGATACATTAGATACAGGTCTGAAACTTGGTCATTAATGTGTGAGAAGGTGTGCGGGTGAAGTGTGATATGATGTTGAAAGTATAGGAAGGTAGATACAAAAATTAATAAAACAATAAAAATAATAATAATATGGGGAGCAAAGAGACTAGGCTAGACTGTTGTTTCACTATCCAATAAACATTTCCATAGATGCTTAGTGACCTCAGCTTTGAAAAGACTAGTAGACACAATCTGTCTTACCTGTAAAGGGAGTCCATTCCACAGTATATGGGTTCTGTAGAAAAATGATTTTGCCAGTGGGCTATTTGAGGTACATGTGGTGTGTGAATTCTGACTTAACTTAGGTAAAATTGATGACACAATAGACAGACTGTCGAGGTGGCAACGTCTTAGTCGAGAAGTGCCCTGATATAAAGAGAGATAGTGAGGCAGCGATACAGGAATTAAATTGTTCAGAACTTTGTGGAAAAAAATAAGATCATTCAAGTCAAACTTTTGAGCCAAAGGGAGAATGTCGACAAGCTTGCACTTTTTGACATATTGCTCAGGTGGATAACTGCGGCCCTCTTCAGACAGAATCCATTTAATAGCTCTCTTTTGGAGACTTTCTAATTTATCACTAAGTGATTTATTACAAGGGCGCCAGATTATGGAACAATTTTCGAATTGGCTACGAACCAGGGAGAGATAAAGCGCCCGGCGACGTTTCTGATCAATGACAATATGGCCATCTCTTCTGACCATACCAAGTTGTTGGCAGGCCTTAGTATAAATTCTGTCGCACTGACTATTCCAACTTAGCTTAGGAGTAACATCGACTCCAAGATCTTTTTCTAACTCTACATACACAAGAGGAGAGCCATCAAGATTATATGCGAATGGAGGAGATAAAGATGGTTTTCCTGAAACAATAAGCACTTTACATTTTGCTGGATGGAATCGCATTTTGTTTCTTAGTGCCCAGTCAGAGAGATAGTCTATATCCATTTGCTGATTAACTTTATTTTATAATTGAGGTTAACCGATTTTTACAAAATTGACTATACAACATTGAGGTTAATAAAATTGAGGTTAATATTTTATTGCACGCCATAATTTTTTGTTATTTCGGTCAGCAAATGTAAACTAAATTTTAGGTTCATAATTATCAGAAAAATGAACATCCAAACGTGATTAAATGAGGTTAACCTCGTCTTTTAGATATAGCGAGAATAGATCAAATGATAGAGTTATTATTTTCATCGTAAGTTTACGGTATACACATTTCTAAATAGATGACATGTTGATTGACTTTCTTTTATCTTGGGAAAATGAAAAAAATGAGGTTAACACGCATCACATTTTGGTACCGTAGGGAATATACATACGATTCTTACTTATGTTATGTACCACAATATCGAAGTGAGGTATCTATTGGTATCACGATGCCTACAACTATAATCACGTGACAAAGGTGATTTGAACTGACCATATTTTAGTAGAAGATTTTACCCGTAAATGGCTAAAAAATGAGGTTAACCTCTCATTTTTTGAATATCTGACCAGTCAATTACATGTTAACCTCAAAAACTTAATCGTTGTACTGTGCAAATGTTTTACTACATATATAATAACATATTGATAAACCAATCCCAGTGTTATATGGTCTAAAGCGAGGTTAACAACCAAATTTTAAGCAGTTAGTGTTTACAGGAAGTCTTGGTTAACCTCATTTTTTACAATACAAGGACATTAACTATTGAAAGTGGCTAAAATCATTTAGGGGACGGCCAGGTCTGATCAAGCAAACGTTATTAAGTGTATAAAAAGTCCTAACTAACGAACTGTGATAAATTCCAGTGAATACTCAAAATTTTGAAAACACTACAATCCATTTATCTCAAAACACACTTTTGTGGTTTTCAATTCCTTAGTTGAGAAAACCAGCCAGTTACAGCCGTTTAAAGTTCCAGTTTAACATGTAATTGCAGGTAAACCTCAAAATTGAGCGCGCGATATCTCAGAAGCGCAAGGTCAGATTTTGATCCGGTTTTTTTCTTTTTGTTCGTCTCCAGTAGCTATTATCAAATATGCAAAAACTACAAAAGTGCCATTTACCCCCCCCTCTGGCCTTAAACAGGCATTTCTGAGAATTAAACGGGCATTTCTGAGAATTAAACGGGCATTTTGATTGCAGGGATCCAAGAGAAGATAGATATCTTAAAGAGGAAATGTTTGTATGATGATGCTATACAGTTAGCTAAGAACAACCAGGACGATCACATGAACCTTATCAAGGCGCACGGTGATCATCTAGCTAGTAAAGGTAAATAAATATTATTATATATTATATATATATATATATATATATATATTATATACAATCTATACAATATTTTAAACTTGACGAAATTTCCCCGGCAACGGGGACATAGAAGAAAAAACACCGAAAATCGACCTCAAAATGACCCTCTGGTGAAGCCAAACCCAGCTCGCAAATGGAGTTGAAACCTCGCCATTTTTAGCAGGGTTGTAGAAAAAGGATAGGAATCTAGGCTATAGCATTCTTTTTGATTTAGGCTTTAGATTTTTTCCATCCACCATTTTGAAAAAATATAAAGTGGAAGGTTACGAATGGAGGTTTTTGCAGAAAAACGTGGATTTTGGAGAACGAGATAGGTGGGTTCAAATATGTCGTGTGTCCTTCCTTCCTTCCTTCCTTCCGTTCGTTACCTCGCAACGTAAAAGCTGCGCGCGCGCGCAAAAATTAATCACTGATGCATTGTGCTTCCTACAGACGAGGGGTCTACTTAGGACTCTGCCTCGCGTGACGTCACGTTAATGTAGATAAATGATCGCGCGACAAAACTCAGTCTTTCTGCTAATTACACTTAAAGTTACGTTTCCATTCTTTTCAATTGCAATTTACGAACCTTTAATCTAAATTGATGAAGTACAAGTTGTTAATCATTTTATTTCTACTGGGATGTTCCACCGACTTGGCACCGGATAATATAATAAAATATGATATTTGTTTTGATGAGGTAAATGTTGCTGTTACAGGGTTTTTCTTGGAATGTTTTGATTTGTTTTGTATGGTATTGTGTTACTTTGGAAACCAAGTACTATTGCCTACAATAGATTTTACCTCGAGGAGTTTGGTTAATGTGCAATATTACTTTTGTCATAATGTACACATTTGGTTATTATTCAATCGACTGACGTTTGTTTACAAGCACTCTGACTACGGTGTCAGCTCATTCTACACCTTCACGAGAACATTCTTCGTGCGGGGAGCTTTAGCGGCTAGTTCTGTCCTGGTTGTGCTGATGTTTGCGTCGTCGATGAACACTGGAGTCCTCGTAGGTTATGGTGAGTTCGTTTACGGTTGAAATTGCACATCTGCTACTTGAAGTTTCGTTTCCTTGAGCTTTTCTGTGCTCTATTAGATTGGTTGTTGAAGATATCATTGTATAATAAATAGCAATCCTATTTATAGGTCGTCTGCTCTCTACACCCAGTCTGTGGACGGTTCTAATGAACCCTCAACAGCTTTTCGTGGTCGCCCTTCAACCACAGAACACCTTGGTTTTGGCTTCAGGAGCTGTGTTGAGTGTTGAATTTTATTTGCAGTTTATTTTTCAAAGTTGTTGCAACGTTAACATCATGTCAACATTGAATTTAATTTATAATCTGGTTTTGGCTCAATTAATTTATTTGACATCTACAGTTGAAGCTGTTAGCGCTCAGTTACAGAACCTCGAGGTTGCTGGCCTACTGCCATCTAGTCCCGCCATCCTCATTCTTCAACTGGTCGTAAACGCTATGGCTGGTGATTTGACTCCTTCTGCTGTTTGGTCCAGGATGTGCCTAATACTATCAGGCGATGTGGAAACTAACCCGGGACCTGTACAGTTTAAGTGCAACACCGCCAGCTCCTCTCCTGAGGAGTTCGTCTATACTGATAAAAACGTGAGTAATTAAATGTTATGATTTTACTAAAATATGTACACATTTTCTAGATTGTTGTACAGTAAACCCCAACAGATGTACAAGCATTACAAGTACAACTTACACTTCATTTATGTTTGTGGGAGCTTTACATTACACGATGATTGAGAAATTTTTTTTTCAGGTTGTGGTTATAGGAGATTCGATGGTTAAATACATTAATTCCGAATGTCCCGAAGAACCTACACGTTTATATCCGAAATCATACCGTGGACTACATGTTTTCTCTTACCGTGGTATGGACACTGAGCACGTGGCAGACGAGGTAACCAACATCAATCCTCGGAACTTGCCGCAGATAGATGCTGTGTACGTCATGGTGGGAACTAACAATATAAAAGGTAGGTGTTCGTGTGATAGTGTTACGTTTGCAGAAATGTTCACTGACCTTATAAACTGTGTGCATCATAAGTTTCCGAAGGCTACTGTTTTTGTAAATATTGTTTTGCCTCGTTTTGATTATTATAATCGTGAAAGATCATATTTTCTTTCTAAAATTGATGACTTTAACGCTGAATTGGTTTCTTTACGTAATCAACTTAATTTCGTATTAGTTTCTAACCCTTTTCACATCACTCATAATGATGCTTTATCTTACATACAGCGTACGGATAATTTACATTTCAGCTACACAGGTAACATTTTGTTTAAAAAGATTGTAAAGGCTAACATTCACTGCTATTTTTATGGTTTTGCTAGTATCCCCACTCATCTCCGTTATCTAGTAGACAGTTCACTGATCCCCGCATCCCCTTTACCCTCACAATTTCCTGATCAGTCTGATAGCTTGTGGGACTTAACTCCGGGTTATTCTCCATCTACTACTTCTCCAGCTTCTGCTGCTCCGGCTCCTCCTGCACCAACACCTGCTCCTCCTGCTCCATTTGCTGCTCCGGCTCCTCCTGCTTCTGCTACACCTGCTGCACCTGCTCCTTCAGCACAATCTGCACCATCTGCTCCTTCTGCACCGGCTCCTCCTGCACCTGCTCCTGCTGCATCTGCTCCTCCTGCTCCAGCTGCTCCTTCTGCACCGGCTCCTCCTGCACCTGCTCCATCTGAACCTGCTGCAACGGCTCCTGCTGCACTTGCTCTTGCTGCATCTGCTCCTGCTCCATTTGCTCCTTCTGCACCGGTTCCTCGTGCACCTGCTCCTGCTGCACCGACTTCTCCTGCACCTGTTTCACCTGCACCTGCTGTACCTGCTCCTCCTGCACCTGCTCCATCTGCCCAACCTGCTCCTCCTGCACCTGCTGCATCTACTCCAGCTTTACCTGTACCTGCTGCACCTGATCCTGCACCCGATCCTGCTCCGTACAATTCGTCGAAGTGTCCGGATTGGCTTCAGAAAAGGCTAGCCTATTACAAGAATCTACTTCCGGTGCGTATTGCTAAAAATGTCGAGGAACTTTTACTATCAAAAGTTGAACAAGGTATATTTGTTAGGCAGGGTACCAACTCATCGCAGGTCCTTCTTTTCGGCAAAGATAAATATGTTTACAACAGGGCTACTAAACATCTAAAACCCATCCCCATTCATTCAGAGCCTATACTACAACAAATTTTGTCCATTGTCAATGTTAAACTGTCCGCTAACTTTAACAGCATATTGGTCAACTTTTACAAAGATCCCTCTACCATCCTACCATATCACAAGGACGATGAACGGCACTTGGACAAGTCTGCCAAAATAGCGACTCTATCAATTGGGGCTACACGTTACATGGACTTTGCCTCGTGTAAATGGGACCGCCCCTCGTTCAGTCAGCAGCTTCTGTCTAATTCGTTGTTTGTTATGGATCCTGAGTCACAGGTAGCGTACTTCCATCGTATAGCTCGCGGTAGTAACTCTCGTCTTTGCCAAGGCTACCGTTTCAGTCTTACTTTCAGAACACTTAAGCCCAGCACCCTCGATAAGACTGAAGGGGTGTCCTCATCCGGCCGTGTTTCTTTAAAGCCCAGCACCCTCGATAAGACTGAAGGGGTGTCCTCATCCCGCCCTGTTTCTTTAAAGCCCAGCACCCTCGATAAGACTGAAGGGGTGTCCTCATCCCGCCCTGTTTCTTTAAAGCCCAGCACCCTCGATAAGACTGAAGGGGGGTGTCCTCATCCCGCCCTGTTTCTTTAAAGCCCAGCACCCTCGATAAGACTGAAGGGGTGTCCTCATCCCGCCCTGTTTCTTTAAAGCCCTGCACCCTCGATAAGACTGAAGGGGTGTCCTCATCCGGCCGTGTTTCTTTAAAGCCCAGCACCCTCGATAAGACTGAAGGGGTGTTGTCATCTTACCCTCTTTCCATACATCCCAGCACCCCTGGTGAGGATAACAAGATACAGCTGTCACCATCATCCTCCGTTCTTCAAGCACCTATAATTGTCCCCAGCATGAGTCACAAGCCTATTTCTACGGAGTTTCGTCAATTGCCACTTTTTCTTCGGATCCCTGCACCTTTTATAAGCCTAACAGGCTGTCACCATCTGCCACTGCTTCCCTGTACCCCTGATATGACTGAAGGGACCAGAGTGTCATTATCTGCTACTCATCCTACGGAACCCCTTATCCCTGATATGACTGAAGGGACCGGGGTGTCATTATCTGTCACTCTTCCTTCGGAACCCTGCATCCCCGATATGACTGAAGGGACCGGGGTGTCATTATCTGTCACTCTTCCTTCGGAACCCTGCATCCCTGATATGACTGAAGGGACCGGGGTGTCATTATCTGCTGCTCATCCTTCGGAACCCTGCATCCCCGATATGACTGAAGGGACCGGGGTGTCCTCATCATCTTCTGCATATGCACCCTCTATTTCCTACAACATTAGTCACACCACTAAACAATCTTTGTCACTAATGTATGGTGGCGGTCGACATAACAATCCTTTCATCGACAATGAAGCTCAAGATGAAGAAGCTCACTTATCCCAAGAGTCTGGCAACTCTCAAAATGATAATCTTACAGCTTCGCCAGGTGATATGGACAATTTCATTGATGACACTGAATCGAACGACTGCCAGGAGTATAGACCATATTATGACTGCCGCAATGGTAGCTATGTACAAAGTTCCACTCTTTTGAACTCATCTGACGAAAATGACTCTTATGCTTCAACTGTTCAAAAGAAAAAGAAAACGGATTCCTCTACGAAATGTGACACTCTTTCTAATATGACTGATAAAGAGCTTCAAAAAGAGAAAGATCGCAATTCTGCTCGAAATCGAATGCGGCAGCATCGTGCTTCTATGACAAGCTCACAGCGTTCACAACAACTTCATTATGATCGTCATCGAAAGTCGCAAACTCGGGCCTCCATGACCACCACCGACCTTAAAATAGTCCAACAGAATGAACGATCTCAGAAGTCGCAAGCTCGGGCCTCCATGACCAACACCGACCTTAAAATAGTCCAACAGAATGAACGATCTCAAAAGTCGCATGCTCGGGCATCCATGACCAACACCGAGCTTAAAATAGTCCAACAGAATGATCGTCATCGAAAGTCGCAAACTCGGGCCTCCATGACCACCACCGACCTTAAAATAGTCCAACAGAATGAACGATCTCAAAAGTCGCAAGCTCGGGCATCCATGACCAACACCGAGCTCACAAGACTCCAACAAACTGAAAGTTCTCGAAAGTCGCAAGCTCGGGCATCTATGACAACCCCTGAACGCAATGCAAAAAAAGAGCAAAAGCGTTTAAAGGAAAAGGCCAGGCGCGCAGCAATGACAGATGAACAAAAGAAAATGGCCAAAGAAAAGCGACGCACTCGTATTTCTCTCAATAAAGCTAGGAACAGTACATCTCAGAATATTTGCTCTCCTGTTCTCCTTCGTCAACATAGCCCATCCAATATGAGCGGTTACAAAACTCCACCAACCTACTCTGCACTTTTTAATCACAATCATTCACGGTCTCCAGCTTCATCACTTAAAACTGCTTATTCACCCCACGACATATCATTTCATACAGTTAGTGTTAATAGAAATAATAAAGTTGCATCTCCTTTAAATGAATACAGAACTTCTTCTCAATCTCTACCAAAACTACACTCTACTCCACCGCATGACTCACCGTCATCTTATCGGGCACAGGTATCTACTGAGACTAATATTAATATAACCTGTGCTGCTAAATCCTGTTTAGGTTCACCTTCATCTTCTAATACCTTTTTCATGCCAAACACTTCCAAACTGCACAAATCAGAAACTGATTCGCATAATTCTCCAGTACCAACGAGGCTTATTCCTACTTTGGATTGGGACTTTGTTTGTTTTCCTCATGGCTCCAAATTATTAGCTGAAATTGAACTTACATGCGTTGATAAATGCACCTTCTGCCCAGGTTTTATGGAGAACTGCCCATTTTCTCATCTCCAAAGTGTCTCCCTAAATCAACATGTTACTACTTCATCGGAATCATCAGCCTGCCAATCACCCCCCATGGAATATTCTAGCCTGCATAACTTTTTTGTTGAGGACCAGCCCGAGGTACCACAGAGGCCTATTTCTACTTTGGATTGGGATTTTGTTTCTTTTCCTCATGGCTCCAAATTATTAGCTGAAATTGAACTTAACTGTGCTAATAAATGCACCTTCTGCCCAGGTTTTATGGAGAACTGCCCTTTTTCTCATCTCCAAACTGTCTCTCCAAATAAACATTTTACTGCTTCATCGGAACCATCTGCCTGCCAGTCACCCCGCATAGAATCTTCTAGCCTGCATAACTTTTCTGTTGAGGACCAGCCCGTGGTGCCACCCAATGCTTCAAAGGCTTCTCCAGTACCCCTTGAGCATCACTCTAAATCACCTACAAAACCCTCATTTGATCCAAAGACTGACAAAATTGTGAAGACTTTCCGTGCTAAAATGCGAGAGTACCCAGAATATGCGTGTTTTAAATGTCACAAGCTTTTCTTCCGTGAAGGTGTTGTTAAGGCAAAGGATACTCTTAAGTTTAAGCTCAATATTCCTTCGGTTACTAAAGCAGATAATGAATGGATTTGTAAACGTTGCAATAGTTATTTAAAGCGTGGCAAGTTCTCCCCTATAGATGTAAATGAAATGTTCCTGGCATCAGGCGATCTCCCATCCTCCCTTCAGCCAAACCCCACAGAATGCCGCTTAGTATCACAGATCATTCCATTTATGAAAATTTTATCCCTTCCTGCTGGTGGTCAAAGTTGTATTAAAGGCCCTGTTGTAAATGTCCCCATCCAACCTGACAGAAATTGCATGCAGCTCCCTCGTAAACTTTCTGAGTCTGGTATTTTAGCTGTCCGTATAAAACGTAAGGTTGAGTACAAGTCTGTTGTAATGTCTGATGTTGTTAATCCTGATAAATGTATAACATTATTAGTATGGCTTAAGAAAAACAATCCTTTTTATAAGAATGTTGTACTTTCCCATGATTTCATTAAACAAAATTACGATGGTGATAAGCAGTTCTTTGACTCGTACATGAATGATGACCCTGTTGTTGTTTCTATGTCAATATTAGATCTTATTTTATCAAATGTCACTAACGAGGGTACGTACTGTGATATGCCTTTTGAGTCTTGCATCCAAAAATCTGATCCAGCTGAGAACATTGATGACGGTAAAATACCTTTCATGGACTTTGCACCTGGCCAGGGTAGTAAACCTGTTCCTTTCCTTGGTAATGCCGACTACGAAGCCTTGTCATTTCCTGATCTATTTCCTCTGGGTAAGGGTCACTTCAACTGCAGCAAAAGAAATGATCTCATTAAGAAAAAACTTCTCCCTAAACTCTCCTTAAAAGATTACGCTGAAAGCAAATTATACTCTAAGCAGAGAAAGTACGCTCAAAACCCCGAGTATATATTTTACATGCAGAACTGGATTGAACGTGATCAGCTACTTAGTTGCATTGCTACTCACATGCGCAAAGGTTCTAGAACTATGGACGGTCAAATCATTACCGCAGGGCTCCTCAGATCTTACCAGTGCAACATGGATCAGCTTCAAAGTAACATTGATGCTTATAAATTTATGAAAAATATGAAGGGTACTCCAGCTTACTTACAGAAGATCAAGAACGATGGTATAGCTATGGTGAATCAGCTAGGTAATTTTACTTGGTTCTTAACATTCTCCTTTAACGACTTGGTCTACTCAGTTCCGGCTATTCTGAAATTAATGGGTCAGGAACCTACGGATGAATTATTAAGTGACATAAGCTGGTTTAGGAAGCACGAGCTAATTAAAATGGACCCTGTCATTGCTGTGCGCATGTTCGACCGCTACGTCCGCAAAATTCTATCTTATCTGATTGAGGATCAGGGTGTCATGGGAGAGGCTTTGGCTCATTTTGGTAGAAATGAGTTTGGGGGCCGTGGATCCCCTCACCTTCACATGCTTCTCAAAGTAGTAGGTGCTCCTATACCAGGTGAGAGTCCCATCGAGGAAGTAATAGAATTTATTGATAAGTATGTTACAACTCATTATCCAACCCTTGAAGAAGATCCCGAGGTTCACAAACTTATCAAGCTTCAGCTGCACTCCCATACAAAAACATGTCAGAAAGGTGGTAAAGACATATGCCGTTTCGGATTTCCCAAAACACTTTCTGAGGTTACAAAAATTGTCTTTAAGGAAATCAAGAAAATGATGACAAAAAAGTCAAAAAACAACCAAAAGTCTGCTGACAGTGAACCCAAAGTTGAGGCTCCTAAACTGCGATCTAGAGATGTCATCTACAAACGTAAACCTGGCAGCGAAAATGTAAATACATACAATCGTCTTCTACTCCTTGCTATACAAGGGAACATGGATGTTCAAATTTGTATGAGTCCGTGGGATGTTGTTAATTACGTTATTTCGTATGCCACCAAAAATGAAAAAGAGGTTTGTGACGCCTTGAAAGATGTTATTAAAAATATTGATCAGCCGAGCAATAAGAACTCTAAAGAAGCCCTTCGACAGCTTGGAAATACTTTTTTAAATTCTAGGTCCGTCTCCGTCCAAGAAGCTATTTTTCGATGTCTGCCCCAGTTGAGTCTCTCCCATTTCAAACCTTCGGTTCTTTTCATTCCTTCTGACATGCCAGGGGATAGACATGGCATTGTCAAACCTCGTTCTACCCTACAACAGCTGCCTGATGATTCGGAAGATGTGTTCCATAACTCGCTTCTTGACAAATACCTCAATCGTCCTGATGATTTAGAGTCGATCTGCTGGGCTGAATTTGCTTCCTTATACGTTCGGTTAGACAGAAACGTAACTTCTAAAAACAGACACAAAGTCATTACTCTTAAATCTAATCTTGGCCAGATGATAAGGCGAGACTCGCCTCAAGTTATCAGAAGTAATAAAAAGTCTCGCACAAAGCAGCCTGAAAAGTATTACTATTCGAAACTGTGTTTGTACTTTCCGTGGAGAAAGGAAGCTGATCTTATTGGCTCCTTTGCCACTTATCAAGAGTCATTTGCTGAGAATGTTGATGCCATGAAACCCAACATCAAAAAGTTTGAACAATTTGACGACGACACTCTGCAAAAAATGGAAGCTGAAATAAGACAAGAGATCAAAGATTCACTTCTTGATGAAAATAAAAGGGAAGTTCTTGATGGTAGGCATCTCTTCAATCATCCCTTTGAAGGTATTGATATATCGAAGGAGGAAGAGAAGTCTGTGTTTAACGTCACTTATAAGGAGCCCATTGTCTCTGATGAACAGTACCAGCAAATGGTCACCAGCCTCAATGACAAACAGCGCGAACTCTTCAACATTGTAGATCATCACTCTTCCCTGGTTGCACAGGGTCACAAGGTCAATCAGCTTCTTCATTTTGTTAGTGGTGCTGGCGGAGTAGGTAAAAGTTTCCTCATAAAATGTATGCGCTCCTGCATCTCACGCAAGTTCCCAGACAGTATCATTAAACCTAGGGTTGCTGTTGCAGCTAGCACTGGTGTTGCTGCAGCTCTCATTGACGGTCAAACTGTTCACCAACTCCTTCAGTTAGATTGTCAAGAGGGCGGAAGAATCCAACCTAAACCACTTAATCCAAAAAAGAAGATGCAGATGAGGAGGTTCTTTCAGCATGTAAGGTATATCATTATAGATGAAGTGTCAATGGTGGGTAACACAAACCTCAACCAGATCAATTCACGGTTGAATGAAATATTTGGGGTTCCTCCTGAAACCACAATCTTTGGGGGAATCAACGTTATCTTCAGTGGTGACCTTCATCAGATTCCTGCGGTTCAACAAACTATGGTGTTTGAGACTAAAGGTATCGCTGCTCTTGGGCCTAACATTTGGAAGGATTCAATTACATTTTCTGAGCTAACGGACATAGTTAGAGCAAAGGGTGACAGTCAGTTCACGGAACTCTGTCACAGGCTTAGGGTAGGAGAGCACACCCCAGAGGATATTGAGTTGCTGGGTTCAAGGGTTGTGGAAAAACAGCCTAAACCTGCTGAAATCATGGACTCAATGGTCATTTATCCAACCAATAGGCAGTGCAACAGTCACAATCAGGAGTGCATTCAAGAATTGAGCAAAACCTCTTCAATAGTTAACGTTGTTGCTCAAGACAGATTCTCCAATGAAGTTTTCAACAAATCTTCCAATTTTGGCGACAAAGTTTATGACAAAATGAACAAGAAACCCCAAGATTACACGACTGACGATGTGAACAAAACTGCTGGGTTACCAACTTCATTAAATATTGGTCCAGGAGCTAGGGTCATGGTGCGTGTTAATATCGACACCCCTGACAAAATTGTAAACGGTGTGACTGGGACTGTCCACAGTTTCCAACTCCAAAATGGCAAAACTGTCAAGGACGGTTCATGCAGTGCTAGAGACATTCGGCACGTTAATGTTATGTTCGATGATGTTAACGTCGGCAGAACCATAAAACATCATTGTGACAATTTCTGCGCTAACAATTGCACCAAGGTTGGCACTGTTCCAATTAAGCCCGTGGAAAAGGAATTTATCTCCAAAAAGAATAGTAAAACGTGGCTCAAACGCTATCAAATTCCATTGGTTCTCTCTTGGGCCTGCACTGTTCACAAAGTTCAGGGTTTGACTTTGAACAAAGCATATGTATTCCTCGCTGGAGCATCAAAAGGTCACTCATGGCAGTCAGGCATGGCATACACTGCTATCTCTAGGTTAACATCTCTCCTTGGTCTGCACTTCATATCTTTTGACCCCAGGCAAATTCGCACATCTAAGAAAGTTGTAGATGAGTATGCTCGACTACGTGATGTTCCTAAATTTTGTGTTGTCCTCCAAGGTAATAATGTTCCTGCAGCTACTTGTGAAGAAGTTTTAATAATGAGTCCAATACCATCTGATCCCATCACTCTTCCCTGCAGTAAACCATGTAATGTGTCATCTTCTCCGCACAACACCATCATCACCTCGCCTCCTGTATTAAAACGCCACATACCTTTTTCTCCATTAGCGGATCTTACGAAGAAACATTTCAAGGCTACCTCATTATATTCTCCGCTCTCTATGATGTCTCCACAGCCTTCTACTGGTCTCAAACGTCCTTTACCAAACTCTCCTCAAGTTCCAGCAAGTCCACTTCTAAGTAAACATCTCAAAACGACAAAGTCTCTTTCTCCTTTATGCAATGCAGATGTGGTCAACAATCCGGTTATGCAAATTCCTACCAGTTATCCACAAGTTATCTCTGAAACTGTTGGCAGGGCTCATGTCATTGATTTTTTGGGTCATCCTCAATCGGCAGAAACTGCAACTTTATTACAATCTTTGGGATTCTCAGTCAATGCCTCCTTTGCTAATATCCAGGTTAATTCCAGTTGTGGTTACATCGCCTCTAGAGTCATTTCTAAACTGAAGTCCTTCCTTTCGACAGGCCAGTCATGGTTTAACGCATCACTATTCGACTGTAACTATTGGGGACCCTCGGATTTTGAGACAGACATATGTGCACTAGGTAATCATGCTCTTAACATTTCCGGCACAAGTCCCGTGTTCCTTTCAGAAACTAATTGCCTTGATCTTATTCCTATTTACTCGCTCCATTTTCACAATTTATTATTTATACATAGAAATGATTATCTTTCCAATGTAGAACCTCCCCATAGTAAGTCTACGTTCAAAGCCCGCATCATACACCTTTGGGATAAGTTTAAGTCTAACGCACAGGTCCTTCCCCCAACCTTATTTATAGTTAATACAGACGATGGTCATGGCGTTCATTGGTATACTGTTATTTTAGAAATTGGCTCTGCGCACTCACCATCTCATGAATTGTAATTTCACCCTCGGCATTGTGAATGTTAGCCCTTGCACTTATAAGTAATCTTACACTCTAGCTATCATTTACTTGCAATTTCTAACAATCACGAACACCACTCACCCCATACCTATCCTAGAACTTTCACAACACCATACCAGTGCTGTTGTAACGTGACTTCTTGCGGTGTGAACAGTGTAGTCAGCCTTACATTCTTACACTCGAGGTTCTGATTACACAGGTAATACAGTCGCGTTTTTAAAACAATAATATTTTTTGTCGCCTATAATAATGCTTTACATTGATAATACAAATTAGTTTCAATTACTTATTCACCGTTACGGTTTAAATGCCAATAAATTTAGTAAATATTAATGTTTCTTTTAACATAGTTCCTCCTAACATTATTCGTTTTTCAGGAAGTTAGACGTACAACAGGACACTGAAGTTTAAGACACAAGCTATAACAACAATTATAACATTACATATCACTACTACTCTACAATTTAATCAACATTATCTTATATAATTATATCTACGTTAATTTATGCTCTCCATAATTAACCAATTTCTATTATCATATTAGCAATAAATGACATGCACATACTACATTTTCCATTTAACTTGCACTCTAACTTTACATTTGTTTTACTGCAGCTATTTAATCGATATACTTTTGTTACCTTATATTATAATTTTCAATATGTCATAAATGTCATGTTATTATCTCATAATATATCTTTAAACCCCTGTAATACCTCAGTTATCAGATAAGATTGGATGCATTATCATATGTTAGCAAAGAGGTTCGTCCGAGCAATTTACCCGTGGGATTGTCACGTGCTAACGGAAACTGAGAAGAGTGGTTAACTGCGTGTGGTTATTGTACCTCATCATCAACTGTTCTCAGGCTAATTACCTCACCTCATTCTCCACATCTACATAAAAGGGAAGGTGTTTCTATACTTTTTTAATATAATAATACAATTATTATGCACATTCAGTTTTCTCGCGCTTTCATTCAAGATTGCTTCACCACTTTTGATTTAATGTTCATATAATGTAGATGTAATATTACGCACGGGACAATCACAACTTATTTCCTTTCAGATCAGTTGCTTGCTGTTTTCCAGTCTTCACATTCAGTTTCACAACTATCAACAGTTCCTTGCATGCCATAGGCTCGCTTATAGAAAAAAATGCCGTCTCCGGATCAGCCCTCCTTGACAGTTGACTCTATCATATCACAATCCATGAAATGGTTCGTAAATTAAACATTATCGTTCTATTAGTGTTCATATTTATTGGAAAGATTCTCCATTTTTCTCTGTCACCCTATGATTCCGAAGTAATATAATATACCTTATTTCAACCTATATTAGTGATATAATCATTCAAACGCATGAAAAACTAATTGAATAATTAACTGATTTCAGAGCAGCTGTGAACACAATTTTGTCAAAACATAACGCACACCATCGGCTGCTGATTGAGTGATATTACTTCCTAATTCACAGATCTCCAAATCTACTACTTTACACTAACCTAGCAAGACAATGGAATGAACACTTCATCTTACTGAACTAATTAACATACTGGACATTGAGACTTGAATTCCAATAATTGGTATCATTGAAGTATGACTGAAACACATCATTTAATCTTGTATAACCACTAATTAGAAAGTGGAACAGAGGGACCAGTTTTATGCACAACATGATAATAATATGTTCTCTTCCTTAACTATCCATTTCCATTTCACCGGAACCTACATTATATCGTGTATCATTTTTCTCTGCCACAGAGTTGCGCGTTGTTATGGCAACTTCAATCTTAACGTTTGCGGAGGAACATTCAAATTAAATCTACACGCGATATTTCAGAGTACAGTCGCGCGGCTTATCAGTAAAATTAATTAAATTACCTCAACGCGCGCACTGTGTCTGAACAACATTTATTTTCCTCGATGCACAACTATTATCAATTATATTCCTTTAGCATCCACAGACAACTAAACTCGCGGCACCTCCAAACTTGAGCTAATTAAAAATTACATTAAGCTGGTCCGGCCCACTCTAATTGCATTGTCTGACCTGAGGTTCAGGTACAACGATCAACTTTTATTTTGGTGTAATGTAATTATTCACAATTAAGCCAATTCACGTGACTCAAGGAAGGAAAATTAATTGAAGGCCAATGTATTATATAGTGAAATTTGAAGAGTTGGTGCAAGTGGATGGAAATCTAGCGTCCGCCGACAGCCGAACAAACGGGCGCAATTCTTGTTTATAATTAACGTCGGAAGTGAGGTTAAATAATCGTTAGAATAATGGCGTTATTTTAGCAAAGGTTTACTGCGCTGTTGCGTAGCAACGATAAAAATGCACGTGCGCGAGCAAGAACATCTTAACTACGCGCGTTGTTATGCTGTATGCTACGTCATAACTTCAAAACTAGCTCACATTTACGCTCACGCTATGACTTATATTCATAACTTTGGTTGTGATTGGTATTTTTTGATGCGGTAAAAAGTATCGTTTTGGGAATCCGAATACTAACAACGCTGTCGCCATTGTTAAATAAATTCCATTATGTCTACTGTATAACAGAGCTGTATGATGAAGAGAAATTAAAACATAACTGATTTTTAAAATTTCCTCGAACAAAGCTTTCGACTAGCGGGTTTCTAGTATATTATATTATATTCTAGCATTTCATTTAGAATTCAAATAAATTCTTTATATTATGGAGCCAGCACGGCTTCCATCCCATTACATTATACTCAAATAGTGTTAACCTGACGCCACCTCACTCTACTCTTACCAGTATATTCAAAAAAATTATAATTAATTAATTAATCAGTTATTAATTAATAAAATAAAACTCTTTACTCCCACCTCACTCTACTCTAACCAGGGGATCACGACGGAGCTATATCCAAGTATATCGGTACTATCGGTCACGTGGAGCCTTCCTATGTGATCAGGAAGTTTCTAGATGCTCGCCGTATTCATAACCTCACACAGGTACACCATCTTACTATATATAAAGCGAGACGATATATATATATATATATATTTATTTATCCGTGCCATTTTACTGACACCACGGCATCAACTTTAACGCGAATTTCTGCAAAAACCGTCAAAGATATACAACTGAAACTTTTTTGACTGGGTCAAATGCTTTAATGGCCTCCAAATCAGCATGAAAAAATTGGCCAAGAAATAGGAGTTTTAGAGCCCAAAATTTGGTACCCCAAGTGGTGTCAAAAACGCGAATTAAATAGGTAATATTTGTTTTAGTCTCTTGATTCTTGACACCATTTTAGGGTTAGACGGGTTCCTGCTAGTCTCTTATTAATTTCTACAGATCTCACTTATATAGTTGTAAATAAGTTAGATACCTTTGGTTTGATGAAGTTGGGGCTGGCGTCTCATTTGGTGCTTTTCTCGCAGTTAAAAGTTCTTATTCATGAAAACTTGTTATATGATGTTAGTGCAGACTGCAGATCCGATTATGACCAATCGAATTTTCGACAAAATTACAATTAATTAATAAATTAAAGTTATTAATTAACAAAAGTTACTTCCTCCAGTACCTAGAAGCACTACACGAAGCAAACGTAGCGAACCAAGATCACACAACGCTTCTACTAAACTGTTACACTAAACTAAAGAATGTGCAAAAGTTAGAGCAGTTTATTAGAAGTGAGGGGGAACTGAACTTTGATGTGGAGACTGCTATCAAGGTGAGTTGGATTGAGTTAATTGGGGGGGGGGGGGGATGTGGAGACTGCTATCAAGGTGAGTTGGATTCAGTTAATTGGGGGGGGGGGGGGGGGGGGGGACTGCTATCAAGGTGAGTTGGATTCAGTTAATTGGGGGGGGGGGGGGGGGGGGATGTGGAGACTGCTATCAAGGTGAGTTGGATTCAGTTAATTGTGGTTACCTTAGTTCGTTTATTTATGGCGGATAATATCGTGACGGCTAAAAATAATGACGGCTAAAAATATGGCCGAATTTCCGAAAAACCGCCAATTTTAACCCGCCATAATTAAACGAACTAAGGTAATACATATGCTAATCTCTTAACACAGATATACAGCTCAGCTTAAAAAATTTTATTCAGCAGCTTACGCCTGTAACCTGTTCTATATTAATTCTATGAGAGGATAAAATAAACTGAACTGAAATGTTTAAAATTGTATTTCTGCCGCGCACAATATACAGTTAATTATATAGTTAATTTACCTATTCAATATTATAATAATTAAGTAATGTAATATTGTAAGTAATGTAATATTGTAAGTAATGTAATATTGTAAGTAATGTAATATTGTAAGTAATGTAATATTGTAAGTAATGTAATATTGTACCCTGCTAAGGTTTGCAGACAAGCTACTTACTTTGATGACGCTGCTTACCTGGCCAAGAAGTTCAACCAATACGATTGGTAAGATAATTACTAGTCTTCAGTTTGTAATATAACATAAGTAAAGTTTTAACGACATTTTCAAGAGAAAAACGAGATTTTATTGAATAATCATACAGAATTTCCGAAATGTATCATAACAATATGAAAATTCGTCAATCATCATCAGATCATGATGATTGACGAATTATCATTTTGTTATGATACATACAAATTCTGCTCAGTCAATTCTTCAATTATACAATTATCCAATTATCCAATTAGCTAATTATCCAATTAGCTAATCACTTATTTACCCGACAGGTACGTTCACATACAAATAGAAGATAAGCAGGACTACAGAACTGCACTTGATTACATTAATGAGTTACCTAGCCTGGATAAGAAGAAGGAAAACGTTAAGAACTTCGGAAAACAGGTAAAAAAGCAATTAAAGTTAAACAGTTAAAATGTTAAAAAGTTAAAAAAGTATAATTTGCTGTGTACGTTATAATCTGCTTCTAATACTAGGCATGGTAGTCGAATTAGGCTGAAGTTCGACTGATTGTAATTGTTAATCATATAATTTGTTCAATCTATTTGATGGCTGTAAGTAAGCTAGATTGACTTGGGAATATTGCAATGAACAGCAGTATCTTTTGCATAGTCTATAAAATAACTGTTATCTAGTAAATTTAAAGAATTAACATCTAGTACTAGATTAGACTCTAAATAATCAGATTTAATTGATTAATAAGATTACACTCTGATTAGCTGCACAGTGTGCACAATAGCCTGATTGACCAACTTTACCTCACTTAACCTCACTAATTGTGGTAAACTTGTCCTCCCAGCTGATGGACCACCTTCCTGAGGACATGACAGAGTTTCTAATACAGCTGTGTGGGGAGACTGAGGATCCACCTCCACCAGAGGAGTTCATACCTCTCTTTGTTAACAGGTGAGGTTAAATGAGGTTATTTAGTGAGGTTAAGTGAGGTAAAGAGAGGTTAACTAGTACAGCTGTGTGGGGAGACTGAGGATCCACCTCCACCAGAGGAGTTCATACCTCTCTTTGTTAACAGGTGAGGTTAAATGAGGTTATTTAGTGAGGTTAAGTGAGGTAAAGAGAGGTTAACTAGTACAGCTGTGTGGGGAGACTGAGGATCCACCTCCACCAGAGGAGTTCATACCTCTCTTTGTTAACAGGTGAGGTTAAATGAGGTTATTTAGTGAGGTTAAGTGAGGTAAAGAGAGGTTAACTAGTACAGCTGTGTGGGGAGACTGAGGATCCACCTCCACCAGAGGAGTTCATACCTCTCTTTGTTAACAGGTGAGGTTAAATGAGGTTATTTAGTGAGGTTAAGTGAGGTAAAGAGAGGTTAACTAGTACAGCTGTGTGGGGAGACTGAGGATCCACCTCCACCAGAGGAGTTCATACCTCTCTTTGTTAACAGGTGAGGTTAAATGAGGTTATTTAGTGAGGTTAAGTGAGGTAAAGAGAGGTTAACTAGTACAGCTGTGTGGGGAGACTGAGGATCCACCTCCACCAGAGGAGTTCATACCTCTCTTTGTTAACAGGTGAGGTTAAATGAGGTTATTTAGTGAGGTTAAGTGAGGTAAAGAGAGGTTAACTAGTACAGCTGTGTGGGGAGACTGAGGATCCACCTCCACCAGAGGAGTTCATACCTCTCTTTGTTTACAGGTGAGGTTAAATGAGGTTATTTAGTGAGGTTAAGTGAGGTAAAGAGAGGTTAACTAGTACAGCTGTGTGGGGAGACTGAGGATCCACCTCCACCAGAGGAGTTCATACCTCTCTTTGTTAACAGGTGAGGTTAAATGAGGTTATTTAGTGAGGTAAAGTGAGGTAAAGAGAGGTTAACTAGTACAGCTGTGTGGGGAGACTGAGGATCCACCTCCACCAGAGGAGTTCATACCTCTCTTTGTTAACAGGTGAGGTTAAATGAGGTTATTTAGTGAGGTTAAGTGAGGTAAAGAGATGTAAAGAGAGGTTAACTAGTACAGCTGTGTGGGGAGACTGAGGATCCACCTCCACCAGAGGAGTTCATACCTCTCTTTGTTAACAGGTGAGGTTAAATGAGGTTAATTAGTGAGGTTAAGTGAGGTAAAGAGAGGTTAACTAGTACAGCTGTGTGGGGAGACTGAGGATCCACCTCCACCAGAGGAGTTCATACCTCTCTTTGTTAACAGGTGAGGTTAAATGAGGTTAATTATTGAGGTAAAGTGAGGTAAAGAGAGGTTAACTAGTACAGCTGTGTGGGGAGACTGAGGATCCACCTCCACCAGAGGAGTTTATACCTCTCTTTGTTAACAGGTGAGGTTGAATGAGGTTAAATGAGGTTAATTATTGAGGTAAAGTGAGGTAAAGAAAGGTACAGCTGTGTGGGGAGACTGAGGATCCACCTCCACCAGAGGAGTTCATACCTCTCTTTGTTAACAGGTGAGGTTAGATGAGGTTATTTAGTGAGGTAAAGTGAGGTAAAGAGAGGTTAACTAGTACAGCTGTGTGGGGAGACTGAGGATCCACCTCCACGACAGGAGTTCATACCTCTCTTTGTTAACAGGTGAGGTTAAATGAGGTTAATTATTGAGGTAAAGTGAGGTAAAGATAGGTTAACTAGTACAGCTGTGTGGGGAGATTGAGGATCCACCTCCACCAGAGGAGTTCATACCTCTCTTTGACAACAGGTGAGGTTAAATGAGGTTAATTTGTGAGGTAAAGTGAGGTAAAGCGAGGTGAAGAAAGGTTGACTAGTGGAATGAAATCAGGATAAAATATGTTGATGGTAGAGTGAGGTTGACTTTAAGGTGCCCTGTGGTATTTTGTAGCTAACAGTAACATTCCATCCTCCTGCAGGAATGACTGTCTGATACTGTTTCTCGAAGCTATCGTGGATAGACAACCTGAATCGTCTTCTCAAGGTGATCTTATTAATTAATGTTTTGTTATATTGTGCTATGCATTACTTTATTAGTGAATATTACACTGATATTCAGCAAGTGGGTTGATTATCAGAAACTGGGCTGAAATTGAAGCATAACTGCGTAACATTTAAAACATTATAATATCCAAATTCCAATACTGCAATAAACTATATTGTGATCCCCAATTTCCTTAGTTTATAACGCACTTCTCGAATAAGTTGGTCCGAAAGACATTAAATTCGGGACTTTATTGGTCCGAGTTGCTTCAACTAGAATAACAGTTTTTAAGACGTTGAATATAAATCCGGCAGCAACCAGGAATCAAATTTTCGGCACCTTTTGAAAATTTCTAGAAGTTTGATGGTCCGATAGTTGACTGGTTCCGAGTAGGCTGATCCGGTGACTGACATTTCAATGTATTAATTAATTAATTAATTAATTAATTAATTGATTAATTAATTTTCCCAATTTCCTCAGTTTATAACGCGCTGCTGGAGCTGTACTTGAGAGATTCCCAGAAGGAAGAGTGTAGGGAGAAGAGAACAGAACAAGTAGTGGAGATGCTGCAGAACGACACTGCTAGGTAATTAGTTAATTAAGGTTAATTAGTTAATTAGTTAATTAGTTAATTAGTTGATTGGTCGATTAGTTAATTGGTTAATTAGTGAATTCGGTAATTGCTGACTATTTAAAAAAGGAGATGGCCAAACAGTCGATTACCTGTCTATACTTAATAGCTTAATGGGGTAAAAAGTCAGTAATTGGTCACTAATCGGCAACTAATTGCTCACTAATCTGCAACTAATTGCTCACTAATTGCACACTAATTGTCCGCTAATTACCAGGTATGACCCTGACCACGCCCTGCTCCTAATGCAGCTGTACAGACTCCAACCTGGTATTGTTATACTCTGTGAGAAGCGTGGTCTTTACCAACACGTATTGGATTGTTACTGTGAGGACAACGAGTACAAGTTAGTTTCGTGATACTTCAGTTAGTGTATACTTAAGTCACGTGATAGTTTCGTGATAGTCACTTTCTTGTTTTTTTACCACGAGGTATTACAGTTTTTGTGATGATCTGAGCTATAACCATACCGAAATATTGAGAATAGGAGCCCTGTTGTCCTTAAATGTTTTTTATTAGTTTGAACCGTATTATATCGGATTATATTTATATATTATGTATTTATTATATTTCTTTAAATTTACTTCTCCTGTTTTTGTCTTCTCTACCCACTCTTATTGCAGGAGTATAATGGACCTGTGTTGGAGGCGTGGTACTGAGGAGGCATCACTCTGGGTACAAGCTCTCAGGTTAGCAATACCAGCTGTCAATAGTCAATTAGCTAATTTAAATTGAATTGAAATGATTCATTCTGGATCTGGCATGACTTGCTATTATTACCTGTCCGAGGAATACATCAAATCAAATAATAACAATGTTATTATTATAAGGAATACGTTTTTATTTAAGTTTTATTGTTTTTTCCAGGTATTTTGCAGTTCGGGAGGACGAGGAGAGAAGGGTGACTGACATTTCACCGTATTTAATTAATTAATTAATTAAACTAATTAATACATTTTCCCAATTTATTAATTGTTTTGTCCAGGTATTTTGCAGTTCGGGAGGACGAGGAGAGTAGAGAACACGTGGCTGAGATCCTACAGTACATCGAACAGAAGAACCTTCTTCCTCCTCTAATGGTTCGCTAATTGATTGCTAATTGATTGCTAATTGATTACATAATATAATACATTAAACGATGTATGTAGTGTTTCATCGGTCAACGGTTTCGCTTTCGATTTTTTAATACTGAGGATTGGCTTTGTTGCTATTTATTATTACTAGCAGGAACCCGTCTAACCCTAAAATGGTGTCAATACTTATACTCAAGAGACTAAAACAATTAGTACCTATTTAATTCGCGTTTTTGACACCACTTGGGGGTCCAAATTTTAGGCTCTAAAACTCCTATTCCTTGGCCAATTTTTTATTTTTTCATGCTGATTTGAAGGCCATTAAAGCATTTGACCCAGTCAAAAAAGCTTCAGTTGTATATCTTTTACGGTTTTTGCGGAAATTCGCGTTAAAGTTGATGCCGTGGTGTCAGTAAAATGGCACGGAACCATATATATCGTCTCGCTTTATATATAGTAAGATTTCGCAGGTAGTAAAAGCATAATAACTAAATTATAAAATGTTATTTTTCCTAAATCTAAAATACCCAGATATTAGAATTAGAATTATAATTAGAATCAAATTTACACAGCAATACTGTACAATAAAAATAGTACATAATTTGCTTCGATCTGCTGTGCAAATCGGTCAAAAACTGTTAATAGAGTATGTAGTAATATAATATGAGCTAAAAAATAACCAATGTTTCCCTTTTTGCAGGTGGTAAAAGCGTTATCAGAGAACGCTAAAACTCCCATATCAGTGCTGATGAACTACATAACACGACACATACAGATAGAGGAAGAACAGACAAATGAGAATGAGATCCTGATCAAGAAATATTCTGAGGAAGCTACTGTGAGTAATTAGTAATTTAATTAGAAATTAGTAATTAACCAGAGTGGGTGGGAGACGTATTTTCGACCGTGAAATGATTAAAAGTGGTTCGGTAATGATTGGATTATTTTTCATTTTTAATATTTTATAGCTTAAATATTCTTTCTTATTTGCCCAGAAAATGCGGGAAGAGATAAAGAAGCTAAAGACAGAACCAGTAATCTTCCAAACTAACAAGTGTACTCAGTGTGTGAAGAAACTGAACCTACCTGCTGTTCATCTCCTCTGTAAACATTCCTGGCATCAGCAGGTATGTGTTTAAGTAAAGGGGGTGGGGGGGGGGGGGGGGGGGGGGGGTCCGGGGGGGGGGGGCATCAGCAGGTACAACTGGTACATTCTTAGATTTAATAGGTCTGTTGCGGGGGTGGAGGCCCGGGGGGAGGGGGGGGGGGGGGGGGGCGCGGGGAAAAGGGGAATGATTTTATTTTTATCAGGGGTTTTATATTTATCTTGTTTGTTAAAGTTAAAAGATAAGAAAAATAAAACCCAATCTTTATGACGTTTTGATAATATTTTTCAAGATTGATTCAATTACAGATTTTAGTTGAGGCTTTTAGGGTTATAAAAAGGGTTGAAAAATGCACGTTATTATTATACATTATTATATAATTATCTAATAATGTTAAGAAAACAGCTTGTCTAAATCACATCTTATAAGTTATATATTTTTGAGTAACAAAATGAACCATTAGCTGTTATGGAACATGGGTTAATAAAGTTTTAACTCAAGCTTGAGTTAAAATCAAGTTTGTATCAAATTTCAAAACAAGTCCTTTTTTCGATGAATTTTATTCATTAATATTCAATATCCCTATAAACATAGAGATTTCATAAATACTATTTATACAGTCTTAAGTCTACAGTCGTAAGCAAGTTCTAATATTGTTACACGCTTCAACATGTAGATGTACATTCAAGTCATTTAAGCGAGATTAGGAACGAAATAACTTGTTTTTAAAGTTTTAAGGACCATTTAAAACATTTTATATTTATGATTTATCCCAAAATAATACGATCAATAATAACTGAAAGCTCTAGCTCGTCTATAAAACTGGCTTAATCGACAACACTTCAACCGATAATTTGACCACATGCTAACTCTCAACATTTTCCAACACTTTTTCTAACTCCACTTTCTCCGGCATAAAAACCGTCGAGGTCTGTACCTGAGTAAAACCAGGTTTGTTCCCCTCCTCCTCCTTCCTCAAACCCCTACATATAACCACATCCACACACCACACCCTAAACTTGCTCATCCTCCAGAAATACAGCACAGGATTGAGAGCCGCATTCACCACCACACTCTCCATCTTGGCCACATGCCAAGAATACCAGTACATGAACCGTGTACCGAAATATACCCCGGGGTAGTCCACCCCAAAGAAACGTGTAGTCATGTTGTGTAACATGTTGATGAAAAGGGGGAGATTACACACTAAGAACAACGTGGTGAACAGCACTATCGTAACACTCGCTCGATACTTCCACTTCTGGGTTTCTTTCGCCTTTGCTCCTGGTCCTACCTTCTTCCTATCCGCTGTCAGCCTGATAATGGACACTAAAAAGGAGATAAAAGTAAGAATAGGAGGCAGCCCCACCATCACCAGATTAACAGCATGCTCGAACTTCATCTCAAAGTTATAGTAACAGTAAGCACCATCCCACGAGTACTTGAACTCGCCCCGGAGTGGGATTACCACGTACTGAACCACCGGAATCAGGATTAAGATAAACACGTACGCCAACAAACTGCACATGACGGTGATAATCCGGATTTTATAGAAGGGTTTCACTATTGCTATGGTACGGGATACACTGAGGAGGAGGACTAGGAATATAGAGGTCTTCTGGAGGATTGTGTAGAGGGATTCCCAGAGGGCGCAGAAGAGATGGTTGTTAAAAACCCCTGGTTTTCTACCTCGGAACAGCGCTATAGCTACCGGGAGGTGGCTGAAGGATGTCATAGTGTCCACACCGCAGATAACAATGTAAAGCAAGGTAACCCTGTCTCTGCGCGTCTTAAAGTTGAAGTAGAAGAGTCCGAAGATGTTACCAGGGATACCGACCAGAGCACAGACAAAGAGAAGGGACCCGAGTGAGAAGTCGAGAGGTGTAAATGGTGTTGCCATACCAGGGTAGTCTGGGTAGGATTTAATGTGGGGATTGTAGAGGTCCGAGCGAGGGGGGAGTGCTCTGATGATGACGTCAGATGTGTTCATGGTTCCTGTGAGTCAATAAGGGGGGTCAGATGAGAAGTCAGCTTTGCATAATAAGATTCAAAAGTGTCACGTGACAGTTTAATGACGTCAAGTGTCAGTGGAGAAACTCAATACTCACAAAAATAAACAGAATCTGTATAATATATTTGTGTAATGAGAAGTTTAAAAATCTGGTTCCATTTTAAAGTAAAACATTGACTAAACTAGGTTACACAACGCGTTGACAGGAAATGACTATCATTGTAACTTTGTAAGGAAGACGATGCCATTTGTAATTATATTAAATATTGTCTAATTCACTATTAAACACCGATAACTATATTAAAATATTAAAAGGGCATGTTTGAATTTTATCATGAAGTCATCATGCAGCAAGCATGATTAAGAATAATCTATAATTGTCATGTCTAAATTTTGTGTTCGACGTTATTGGTGCGTCGAGTTAAACTCACCCTGGTTTTAGCAGATGACATTGTCAATAGTTTTATATTAAGACGCAATGAAACTACCGGACCACGATGTATGGGGACTAGCCACCTGCACCCCATGGAGTGGCATTCATATAAATTAATAAATTACATGAATTAATAAATTATCCCTAACTTATAAACAAGTTCCTTGATTGGCTGACAGTGCAAATAAACACACAACTCTTCCAACAATTATAATTGCCTTGCTTTTATAAAGTTTCTCTGACAAGGCAAACGTGAAAAGTGCAACTCGAAAAGTGCAACTCGCCCAGGAATTATAATTCCCTGGTTGTGTAGTAGTAAATGACTAGAAATGGCTGATATTAAAAAGGAAAACACACTAAACATACGGCTAATTCACTATTGGAAACAGGTAACCTTGTGAGGACAAAATTTGTAACTTTGTAATATCATAGACAATTTTAATGTTAAAAACATACTGACTTTGTTGTAACTTTGTATGAAAAGCATTAATACTGACATATTGTATCATCATGTTGTCAAAATATCTGCAGGTAAAGGTTATATGCGCCTGTTTTAACAATATTTACCAATATGGGACCGTTGTTACGCAATCACTTTTCGGAGAATTTTTAACCCCCCCCCCCACCCTCCGTAATCAGTTTTACACATAGCTATTGTGTCAAAATTACAATAACGTATCATTTGGAAACCCCCCTTCCTCCCCCTCGGCTGATTACGTAATATGTGAACGACCCCTATAAGCCTAAAGAAAAATCAACAATAAACTATTACAGGTTAGATGTTTACCTGAGTTCTATATCTTTCGATAGCAACTCCATCTATCAATCTGATTAGCAAGTCATTCTGTATTCCACCAGTACTTGTGATCCTGGTTGCAGCTTTCAACATGTTTTATGGGCCCAACACTCAGCTTTCACAGTTTATGACTTCTGGCCTCCTTGCGATGTCGTAGCAGGTAGACCATTTCTTGTTGTCGCGGGCTAACCAGATTGTATAGGAACATCGAAGAGCGACCAAAGCAGCCTCATTCAGGGCTTTATTCTTCGTCCTCTTCGCCAATCCAAAGTAGTTAAATAGAGCTGGTACAGTATGGTGCCAGAAGCCCCTACACCCAATCTCTACCGTAAAGAGCAGAGCTTTCCAACCGCACCCGTCGATGCCAGGAATCAGCTCTCTGTTGTAGCGTGCTTCTTTACGTGCTACTTGGTCACTGAAGTTACTCTCGTCACCACAAGTCAGTTCAATCAGAACTACTTCTCTCAAACTATCCGACCATACTACAATGTCGGGTCTCTCCGCTGTGTTGTAGATGTGCTGTGGGAACTGGGCAGGTAGTGTATCCTCGTCCCATATCAGCTTCCAGTCTTTCGCTCTCTCAAAGGGCCTCTCCTTCCTCAACTTTGGCTTTGGGTGTTCATACTTCCCATCCTTCGACTTGAACCGTATCCATTCTTTGTCGGAGGTCGTGGAACCTGAGGAATTGTACATCTTGAGTTGGTCAAGCAAGGCTCCGGCTATAACACGTAGGACGTTGTCATGTCTCCAGTTGTACCTTTTGGAGTTTCTTGCTACACTGCAGACGGCTAGGATATGCTTGATGTTGCACGTCTTCCATCCACAAAGTGCACAATTTCCTGTACTCGAGTAGTTCCACAATTTCATGTTTGCAGGGGTATTAGCCACGTCGTGTGTCGAGTTTAGGTGGAATTTAAGGAGAGCCGGGCTCATCTTGTAGTTGTAGATAAGGCTATTCCATCCTAAGTCTAACTGCATCGTGTTCTCCCATGTCAAGAACTTGCCCTGTACTCCCTTGTTTACCAGGGTGACTAGCATGTCGTTCTCTGACACCGATTCTACCAGTTGCCTTAGCTTCTGCCTCTCAGTCAACTTTGGTTTGCATCCGAGTCCTACTCGATCTTTAGTCACTACTCCAACCAACTCCTGGAAGTAAAGATCTCGCTCTCTTGCCGTCAGCTCCGTTGTATAAGACCATCTCGGGCTGTTCTCCTGTTTCTCTCTCTTGTTATTATAGGCTTCTACAACTTTGGTGTCATCACTGTTCTTCAGGGCGTGTCCCTTTGATACCTGAAGAGACTTGTATAAGTCACTCAGCTTCTTCAAGTTTAGCCCGAAGTAATCCTTGCTCCTGTACAGGACTGTCACAGTAATTGATCTAGTAACACCCAACCACTTCTTCAAGAATCTGGTGCAGATAGCATCCAGTTCGTACACAAAACTTACAGGAAGGTTGTAAATCATCAGATCCCAGGACATCTTGCTAGTCAGCATGTTATTGTAGATCCAACACTTCATGACACCGTTGAGACCACACTCATCCACTGTCTGAAACAGAGTTTTTAGTTTGTCTTCAATCCGTTGTTTAGTGTCATTTAACCCTAGATCGACATAGATCCAGTGGCCCAGGAACTTAATCGGGTTGTTTCCTACATAGCTGATTATCTGGCCGTCAATCAATATCTCTGGGTCATAAGCCTGGTACGTACCATCTATCACCTTCATTCCCAGGGAGACACACTTGCTCGGCTTGGCCTTCATTTTCCTACTCCAATCCAAAAACTGCTCCATCAACTCTATCTGCTTCTTTACCTTCTCTAGTCTGGAGGACATAAGTGTTAGGTCATCTGCAAAAGCCCGATTCGATGTAGGTTGCGAGCTAAAGGAGGGCTTATAACCCAGTTCTTTTTGATCTTGTAGAAGATCTAACAGTAAGTTGAATACAATCAGGAACAACACTACTGAAAGAGGGTCTCCTTGAAAGAGGCCTAACATGTAGTAGAACCAATTTGACTTCCAGTCTTTGGTTACCACCCTTACAATCAGTTCATCATAGTACTTAAACATGTAATCTATGAGCCATTCAGGGAATATGTAATGCCGGAGGGCATAGAGGATCAAGTTGTGTGGGACTCTGCCATATGCATTCATTAAATCCACCCAGACAACGAATATCTGACGTCTAGTAGATTTGGCGTCTTTTAGTTCTTCCATAAGCACTTGGGTGTGTTCAAGACAACCAGGAGTCTTCTTCAGAAAGCCCTTCTGAACTGACTTGTCTATGTACTTATTAGACACCATATAATCCAGCATCTTGTCTGCTAGAATTCCCATGTTCAACTTGCCGCTGGTGTTCGTCTTTGTAATATTCCTGAACTTGCTTGGGTCTGACAGATCCTCAGTCTTTGGGATAAGGACTGCTTCACCAAATCGCCATTGTAGTGGCACTATCTTCTTGTCCCACAGGGTAGATAGGGTTTGGAAGATCATGTGTGCGGTTCTCGGGCATCTCTTATACACCACATATGGTACACCGTTTGGACCAGAGGATGACTTATTACGCCTGCTCTTCAGCTTTGCATCGAAATCTTCCTTGTCCAGCTTTGTCAGCTCGAACTTAACTACTGGGGGCTTGGCCTCAGGAAGGCCTTCCAACTTAGTGTAGATTGCACCTCTGTCCGTGGTATACATGATAATTAAACATAAAGAGGTTGTCTCTAAAAGACCCCCAAGTGACTTTTGTTAATAACTCAAAATTGACTTTATAACTTAAAACTTCTGAAATCGTGTGGTATTCAAAATGTGTTTAAATTTCAGGGCAAAACTCCATCTGCAGCCCAACCGTATAACAAAGAACAATAATATTCCTCCCTAAAAATATTACCAGAAATTTCGTTATTATTATTATCAGATGGCAAGTTGATAATGCATCGACTTTCAATACTATTAGTAATTTTGATTTTTTTAAAACAAACGGGGGTGAATCTTGGTACAAACGAACTTGTCATGCTGGATTGCAATTCCTCAACAGATTGAAATTTAGTCACTTTAGTCACTTTATTCACTTTATTCACTTTAGTCACTTTAGTCACTTTAGTCACTTTAGTCACTTTATTCACTATAGTCACTTTATTCACTTTAGTCACTTTAGTCACTTTAGTCACTTAGTCACTTAAGTCACTTAAGAGCTTAAGCTTGTACAATGTACATAATATTATAATGTGTTTGAATTTGGACAATGTGTTGGAAATTTTAATCTGTTGTACTACTCTGATATAATATTATTATGCTCACAACCTTCTCAACTAGTGAACTAGTGAGCCCCTGCCCGTTTAATTGTTAAATCTTCTATTATTAGGACCGTAATTCTAGATTTGTACATCTTGAATTGTCAGGAATCTCAATGTAAGACCTTGTTGGTTATTTGTTTTAGTAACTCAACAATCGTGTAAGGCAACGTTACATACTACGCTGTCCAATAAGCCAACCTAAAGGCTGCAAATTTTGCGAATTGTTCTATTTAATTGCTGTGTTTTTTGTCGCCAAATTTACCGCACATAAACAAGTTTTAGGCAGGTGAAAAACTGCACTATTTGCAAAATATTACCGCACCAAAAAGCATCAATTCGAAATCTATTGAACTTAGCGATTAATGAAAAGGATACAAAATTAAAATGGATGCAACACTCTGACAAAATTAGCAAATGAAGATCAAATGATCAAAGAATATTAATCTAATTATCAATGCTT